AGTTGGTAGCAATGCATTGCATGTCAAATTGCAGCTCAGTTAGTAGCAATGCATTATATGTGAAATTGCAGCTTAGTGGTATTCAAAACTTGTCCAGAAATTGCAGCTTTGCATTTCAACTACAAAATAACCATTTCATTTTAACAACTTTAGTACAGAGTTAACAAGCCTTGTATTCATACTACAACAACAAATTCAGTGAATTTACTTAACAACTCCTAACACAAAATGAAAGTATAACAAAACAAAAGACAGCCTTACTAACTCCCTGCACAGACTTTTCACTTAAGAACAAGAGCAATAATTAAAACAACAAAAGACAAAACCATGCTTAACTTCAACATTCCCTTTACAATTGTAATGAACTCTGCATTCATCTCTGCTTTTAAGAGGATCTAATTATTTCCAAAACTTGCTGCGTAAGCAAGACGAGCTGGTACAACTTCATCTTCATGCAATCCTTTATTCCCAGAAGCAGGTGCAATCCACCATTCCCAAAACGTGCAATCACCAGTACTGTACTTGAAAAATAGCTTTCCCATATTGTTTTTGGAGTCAGAAATGTATGCAGAACATTGATACCACAAAACCATTTCATATTCTTCAAATGGACTTCATCTTCATCTTGTGCACCAGGTGGAATTCGCTATTCCCAAAACTTGCAACGACGTGTACTGCGATTGAAAAATAGCTTACTCGAATTATTTTTGAACTCAGAAATGTATACAGAAGAGTTGATACCACAACTACATTTCCTATTCTTGAAAGGACCTCTATGAATTCCATTGCTGAAAGAGGATTCACCCATGGAGCTCATTATTTGCCCAAAAAAAAAAAAACAGAGAGACAAAGCAAAGCTTCAAATAACTCTTGATTGAATGATATATATATATATATATATATATATATATATATATATATATATATATATAAACAAAAGGAGATACACAATTGCAAGACAAAGCTATAAAGAGATATTTGGGGTATCAATATCGATGGATGTACAGATTTCTTCACCTAAGCTATGGCTGATCGAGGAAGATAAAGAATGGACGATTTAGGGTTTCTGACCACATAAATAGGGCAATGTTTGGTTGGGATTTAGCGGTAATTAAAGGGGCATTGTGGCCTTTTAGCTTCATAAAGGGTTGTATGGTCATTAAAGAAATTTAAGTTGTCACGTGACCCATCATGTGCATCTTCACTGTCAAATTCAACCGGCTTATCATCGAACAAGGTTAATTGCCCCAATTTGGTTAGTTCAGGGGGGTTATATGCCAAATTAGTAGATCAGGGGGGTTTTTTGCTACATGGCCAATAGTTAAAAGGGTTTTTTGCACTTTACCCTAATTTATATTTGGTATTGTAATATTATTTCACTTTTGGATGATTTACAACTTTATTTTGTTATTAGATAATTTAAGTTTGTGGTAATATATGTTAAAAAGTTAGTTACAGGTTTTTAATTACTAATTTGATATTTTAATGGGACATAAAGTATAATCATATTGGGCTGTTTGAAAAGTCCAATTCGTGAAAATCGAACCGATTTGATCCGTTATTTCACGGATTAGTTCGGTTTTAAATTTCACCAATCCGTGGAGACCAAATTGGAATGAACTTTACCCCCAAATCGAACCGAACCGATCCGATCCATAGGGACTGGATTAGATTGAACTTTATCCCCAAATCGAACTGAACCGATTTGATCCATGATCAGCCCTACTTTGTGCACATTATTACTTTCAATGTATGATTTAAATTTTGTTATTTTTGCGTTCTCGTACCCGCACCTACTTTGCGTGACTAAGTACTGATGCCTATCTTTATAAGAACATCTTCATTGGATTAATGGAAACTCATTTTTGCAAATCCAAATTCCAATTTCTACGATGTTGGTCCAACCCAAAGTAGGAAAAAAATAATAATAAAATATAATATAATAATAATCATCGTGGAATGAATATATCCCAAAGTAGGCCAAAAAAATAAAAAGTGGTGGAATGAGTTGTCAATTTTAAAGAGCAGGCCTGCCATCGCGGCCCCCTTTTTTTGAAGTGTTCAAAACATTTAAATTGGGCAAATGTCTTAAGGGCGTGTTTTGCCTGCAAATTCCAAAACTAATTTTTTGCTTTTTTTTTTTACTAGATTGGAATGGAAAATAATTTTTACATCGACTTTTTGTAATAAAGTGCGAGACGAACTATTTTTAATTGGTCATCTATACAATAAATAAGAAAAGAGGCCCCCACTTGCTTGTATTTTACATAAATAATTAATCAAAAGCAATCCGTTAGGCAATTCACTTGTCTATTCAATATGAGTCTTTAGACACTATTTAACTGACACAAACTTCAAAAATGATTATGTAGCAATTTAGAGAGTTAAAATTTGAGGATGACATTGGAGATGCTCTATTACCAATAGTAAGGGCTTGTTTGGCTCATCATTGACCACAAAACCTGTTTGTTCTAATTTTTTTATTTATAAAAATCATTAAATAAATAATATAGTCTGTAGGCACTGTTTGGCTGAGTGCGTAATGACTATATTGCCCTACAAAATTATTATTATTATTATTATTATTTTACCTAAAAAAATAAGTTTTTCACTTTTTCTTTTTTTAATCCCCTAACAGGGGCTTGTTCTTTTGTGTGTTTGTATATAATAAATATGCACCCCTAAGATAAAGTCATCCAAAGTTTATAATGGTCATCCTTTAAGTTTATTGGGCAACGAATTAATAATAACTTTTATTAGATAAAGTTGGTTTATAAAATAGATTATAAATTTGGTCATAGCAGTTGGTAAATATATGCCTCTCTGAATTTTCACTCACTAAAATAAATTCATAGAGGTTGTTGCAGCGCTAAATTTTGTAAAGTAAAAACTGTTTATCTTTTGAAAAAAATTCCCCACTTAATGAATAACCATTTGTTACCAATGGGGAATTGCTTTTCATTTAAAATAGAGGTGATTGGATTTGCACCAACGGAAATTAGAAATGACTAATTTAAAATGTAAAATTTCAAAAACGCGCCTACGGATGTCCTAACTCAAGTGTCACCAACCCGGATTTCGCAAGTGTCACCAACCTTTCAAATTTTCATAAATTTAGATAATTGAGTGTATTCTGATAGTATTATTCCAATAATAAATCAAGTAGCAAATCCAATAATCTGATAATATTAATGAATTAATGATAATCCTTTAATTGGACCAAAATAAATTTGAATTAGAGTTAAAATAATATATTATTACATTTATATTTTAAACTAAAGTACAGCAACATCTCTTGAAGATTGAACAGTGGACAAAGGCACTCTTGAAGCCAATAGACATGAAAAATTGAACAAATTGTCCTTTGACCATTTAGTTGACATTTTTAACTTTATAAGTTAATAAATTGGACGAAACTACACCTTTTCTTATGAACAAACAACCACAATGTTAGGAATATATATATATATATATATATATATATATATATATATATATATATATATATATTTGGTAAATAAAAATAAAAAAAACATTTGTTTTCATTTTGCCACAATTTTTCAAAATAACAAAACTGATAACCCACAATTTCTCAAAATTACAAAATTGATAACAAAATTGCATATTTCTTTTGCTGTAATAAATTTTCAATTTCTTACAAAAAGAATAAAGTTTGACCAATCTAAATGGGTGTTGCTACTTATATCTGTCAATATTGTTCAATTTTGTCTTAAAAAAAATTGTGAGAGATTATAAATGGGTTATCTAACTACTGAATGATGTATTTCAAGAGCTAATTGATACTACTGGATGTTATTTCTCTGTGTAGCCTACATTCGATTCGCTATTTTACTTATTTAGTTATTTAACATTCTGTTTTTGTGGTAATAACAAAAATGATAACCCCAATTTGTTAAAAAAAATAAAATTTTTGATAACCCCCATTTGTTAAAAAAAATATATTTAATTTCATTCTACCATAATTTCTCAAAATAACAAAATTTTGGTAAAATATATATATTTATATACATAGGAATAAAGAAAACCACATATTAGTAAAGAAAATAGGAACAAAATTTTCCTTATAAAGAAAATAAAGAAAACCCCATATTTAGAAAATCACATAAAGAAAACCCCATATTTTCTTTAAAATATTTTTTTTTTGGTAAAGAAAACTTCATTTTAGTAAATAAAATAGGAACGAAATTTTTGTTTAAATTAATAGATAATATAGTAAATAAAACAGAACAAATTTTTGGTAAAAAAAAAAAAATCTAATTACAAATAACAACAAATTGATAATATTGACGAGCTCATCCGGAACAAAAAGTAAGCACGTGTGGCGATTGTATTAATGAGATCGCGAACACCAAACACTCAGACCAGAACAACCAAATCAGCAGAACACTGGTTAGTCTTGATGGGATCGCAAAATCAACAAATCGGAGCAGAACAACCAAATCAGGCGAATACTAGTTGTTCTTGATGAGATCACGAAATCAGCAAATCGAAGCATTCACGAAATCAGCAAATCGAAGCATAACAACAACAAATTTAGTTCAATGGTTAGAAAATTAGGGCAATTTACTTGTTGTTAATCTGGCCAAGTGGTGTAAATTTGTGCCCCTAAACTTTTTAGGGGCAATTACATCAATTTGATAGGTATAATATTTTGTAATAAATCTAAATTGGGTTAAGTGCAAAAAACCCTTCTTTACTATCGATATAGTACATATCAGTCCATGTATGGTAAAAAAACCTTATATACTATCAATTTGGTGCGAATAGGTCCCTGATGGTGTAAAATGACGATAATACCCTCACTTCAGTTAAATAAATTAATAACTATAAATATAGGCCATGTAAAATTACCCTTTTACCCACTTATCAAAAAAAGAAAAAAAAAAAAAATTGAGCGCCGCTAAACCCCAAACAGAGGTACTTGGGCCTGATATATATATATATATATATATATATATATATATATAAAAGATATATTATATATATGTCTCTGCGATGGGGAAAGTACTGCAGCCACGGGGACGGCGATGAGGATCGGCCGGCAACGGAGGAACGGCGGTGAGCTCGGCTGGTTCGGATGGTGGTGGAAACGGAGCCTGCCCTCTTCAAAGCCTTCGGAGCCACCGCCGGATACTTCTTTTTCCAATCTCTCTCTCTCCCTTTAATTTTCTAATTTAAGATTGCGAATCAGATTTCGAAATTTCTCTGGTTTTCTAGGTTTTTTTTTTTTTTTTTTTTTGTTCTTCCTTTCTTGTAAATTTCTAAGGATTTTATCTGAAATTTGAAAGAAAGGTACGGATTTATTGAAGGGTTTATGATTTGCAGTAGTGGAAAATCATGGCAGAGGCTAACCCTAACATCATCATCCATCAGCGATTTTCGTGGCCGTAGAATCGTTGTTCAGAGGCGTCAAGCCATACCCACAATAGGAAATTACCAACTTCTTAATCCACCAGGTCTGTTGCTGCTCAATCTCTCCCTCCTCCCCACCATGGCCGCCGCCTCCTCCCACCTCCTCCCACTGCCCGCAACCATCTCTCTCCTCTCTAAACCCATCAACAATATACGCACAACCGGCCACCACCATCGCTTTGCAAAACCGCCACCACCGTCCCCACACATAATCACACGATTTAGGGTATCCCATTGTGTTTACCCTAACATAATTTTAATTATAAAGCAGAAATCAACTAGAACAGTTTCAGACCTGCAAAGATTTGCTCACAGAGTTGCTTCTCTTTGAGAAAGAAAATTCGAACACAAAACTTGGCTGCACGTATCCACTGTTTGATCTTCACCTCCACCACTTGCCACTCCAACCTCCAGAGATCTTCAATGCTCAATTTCTCGATGCAGTCCATCTCTTCCCACGGTTTGATGCAGTCCATGTCTGTTGTTATAAGTTGGAGCGACTAGAGAGAGCTAACCTGTTAGGAAGACTAAACCAAGAATTTTTTTTTGGGAACAAGATAATAAATATGAACTTCATTTTTATTTTTTATTATTATATATATATATATAATCCACCTCTGACTTTTTCATTCTTCAACCTATTCAAGCACACTTCAGTTCATTCCATTTCCATAACTCTCACAACTCACAAGCCATCACTAAATTAAGATATGGTAAAAATGAGTAGTAGCTCATCCCATAAGTAGCACAAAGGCGTACGTGGCCGGAAATGGTTGTCGGATATACGAGTTCCGCGCACCAAAAACCGCCGCTGGCTCGGCTCCTACACGACGTGTAAGGCGGCCGCAGTGGCCCAGGACATAGCCTCCTACTGCCTGTGAGGAACCTCTTTTGTGCAAAGTCTTAATTTATCATCAATGTTTTTATATCTAAAGACTATATATATATATACACACACACATACAAAACAGAGGGCGAGCTCGGAACGACCCATCCGGCATAAGATGGACCGCAAGCCCACTGCCGTTCAATCCCGCCGAGTCTCCCTCTTGCCCGGTGGAGAAGTCGGTGGAACTGGCGGTGGGCGACGGGCTGTGGAGAAATCGGCAGAACTGGCAGTGGCGACTTAGCTGCGGCAGTGGTCGACGGGCTGTTGGACTTCGGATTGGACCGGCAAGTAAAGACAGCGGGTTCCGGCGATGGATGGCTGTGGAGAAGTGAACTGGAGCGTACCGGCGAAACTGGGTTTACGTCGGCAGGGAAACTTCCGTCCTGCATCGCTGCCGATTAGAATCCTTGCTGGCCGACGTTGTACATCGCTGGAGGGATTGTTGGATCAAACCCAGTTTCACTCTCTCTCCCTTTATTTTTGTTTTTTTTATATTTTTTTTGAATAAGTAGAAATGCAACCAGTGATGGCTTGGGTATGGGGGTGGTGGAGCAGTGATGTGGCGGCCGGTAGCATAATGGGTTTGTGAGTGAGTCAACTCAACAAATTCGGGTTTGTGATGTGATTTTGATGACACACTGAACTAACTCAACAAAAAGGTAGAGTAGAAAGATAAAAGGCAAGTTAAAAATTTTTAATTTATTTGTGTGGACTTGTCCTTCACGAAGTGCATATATCAAGGATATTTTTGTACTTAACCCATCTAAATTTAATATCAAGGATAATTTTATCTTTTTTATCCTTTCATATAATTTAAAGCCTGTTATTGTCCAAATACAAATAACTTTTATCATAATGTCGTTTGGTAACCCTAAAACAAAAATGTATGGTGCTGTCGGCTGCGGCCTATATAAACAGAACTGCCCTAGCGTATATCAATCGCTTTAAGTTTCAATGAATTGAATGAGTAGTAGTAATAAAAGTTCCAGAAGCATACGGTACTTTCCGGCCTCGAGAAAAACGACGAAGGGCAACCGTTCTCGTAGATCGACCGCCGGAATCGTAGCGTGGTGAGTTTTCTCTCTTCTTTTCGTTTTCATCGCTTTAAATTTCAATAAGTTGATTTTACTTTGTTCAACAAAGAGTACAAAACCAAGTGATTTTATCTCACTGTAAAAAAAATTTTGCTGCAAAAATGTATAATTTAAACCGATTCGATTTGAAAAATCGGACATCCTGTTGAATTATCAGATCGGATCGGATTGTTATTATGCTTATCCGATTTGGATTGGATCGGCGGTGATCGGATCCATATGCAATCCGTTCGCAGGTCTATCATAAATTCTGTGTGCATTCCACTGTGAATTCAATGTAATTAATGCAATTGTTTGAGAATATATCTTATCCAGATGAACAAAAATCTGACACTTATATGGTGATGCTGTTTTTTCTGTATAAAAAATAAAAATAAAGAACCAATAATACTTATGAAGTATAATATTCACAATTCGACAATTATGGTTGATACAAGTAACAGCTTCAAGTTAGGAAGCAAAGAAAAGACTTGTGCCCACATAATTATGTTTTATACAGTGGCTGCAGTTAGTATTTATCAATTGGTCAGTATAGGATTATGGTTCAATCACAATAAACATTCATTATAAAAAAATAATGAAGTAAAAATTATAACATTCGACAACTGAAGTAAAAATTCCCAAAATTACCAATGCTTGTGACTAACAATTTCAACCTAAAAATAGGATTATGAAGTATAGAAATTGTTTTAATTTTTTTTGTTTGGGAAATTCATTGGTTTGGGTTTCAACTACAATTTATAGCAGTACAAATGATAGTGAGACATTGATTTTGAGACTAACTTTCCACAGCCCAGGAAAAATGTGAAGAATTACTTTTAAAAGCTTCAAAGATTGAATTGTTAGTATGATAGTGATTCTACTTGTAATGAAGTGTTTTGCTGATTAGAAATTTAAAGTTTTAAGTGTACAAAGGAGTGAAAGTTCTAAGAAAGGAAATTCTTCCACAAATCACGTGTTGGATTAATTCAAGAAAATCCTTTGAAGGTTCTCCAGGAGTGTGCAAAACAGGGCCAAACCAGTGACATGTTGTAAGTGACGCAATGTAGTAGGAACTTTCTCAAACTTTGATGATGAAACTAGTTACAGTATTTTGTATAATTGAACTTTTATCTCTATGAAATTGCATTTACAATTTAGTCAATGTTATGCTTTTCTTATATAAAAATATATTTGTTAATTTTATGGAAAAAGATTTTAATTTGAGGAACAATGAGGTGAAATGTTTGGTCAGTTTATTTACTAAATGAGAGGGCCTTCTGAAAGAAAATTTCAAAGAACTTAAGCAGTACAATACCAAAGGATATTGGCACAAGTGATATTCATCATAGTAACTTTAATTTTTTTCCTCTTATTATTACAATCAGACCCATGCAGTTGATTTTTTTAATATGCTTTGTTCTCTCTCTCTCTCTCTCTCTCTCAAGTTTTAATATGCTTCGTACTTGACAGGCATGAGGTGCAGATTGTTCAAGAGATTATACAAGAACTGGGTCATATATATCGTTAAAAGTTGCTAAGCACCAATTGGGGATAGATTCCCGTCTCAACGAAGTGATCACTTTGCTAGACAATGGATTAAAGGATGTGCGCATTGTGCGGAATTGTGGAATTGGCAGAATAGTTAAGACAACTATTGCCGAAGTAGTTCAGTCTCTTGAATTTGTAAGGAAACAACTTCTTTATAGGTGATTGAATATTCCGTTGAAAACAAATTTGGCAATAGTTGTCTTTCCTATTCCGCCAATCCCACAAATCTCCACAATGTAGGATCCTTTAACCTATTGTAAAGCAGAGTGGTCACTTTAAATTATTTGTTTATGGGAAAGGAGACAAAAATATCAAGACTTGCTAAGTAAACAAAGGTTGATGCATACAAGAAGTCGCAAGGGCTATACTTGTCTAGAGGACAAAATGGTAAGCGACACTTATCAATGTTTATTGTGATTGAACCATAGTACTAATATGAAAATGGTGTTAATGATTAATTCATGTTGGATCTCATTATTTTGCTCATATATATTTTGTGAGCAGAATTTTCAGTCAACAAAAGTGCCTATTACTTAAACAGCCATAATTGACTTTAGAGAGGTTTGAACTCATCACTGCTTGTTGCATTGGAAAGTAGACTCACAGAACTTTCCAACCATATATAGATTACCTTCTAATTCTACTTCAAATGAATTTGCAATGCCTCAAAGTTAACCTAAAAATGCTTTATGAACTCTCTGAAATTTGAAACCTTCAAAGTTATTCCATTTTATAAGGCATTCTGTTCCCCAAAATGGGATTGTCTTGCAGTGAGTCTTGCACGCACATCTGACTTCTGCTAAAATGGAATTAAGATGGTGGTCATGCTGTATTAAACTTATCTCTTTTGCATTATAATGTTATTGACATCGAGTGTAAAGATTTTTTTATTTACTATTTGTGCACAAATATTGTTCTTGTGTAGAGATTGTTTTTTGTATTTTTTTGTTTGATGCACCCGATTGTATCAAGAGTAGACGATGGATCAAAGGACACATGAAGAAGGATGGGAATCTTTTGAGTGATTCAATAAGGGAGGCAATGGTAACTAACATATCTTTCCTACCTATTTTATCTTTTTTATTTATTAAATTTACAATCATGCTTTATTCCAGGAATTTCAGACACAAATGCAATTGTATGACCTAGAAAATTAATGAAAATTCTATAGGTAGTTTGGTCATTTAAGGCTCACAGCTGAAAGCTTTAAATTATTTTTTAACTCCCCCTTCTGACATACCACCAGATTTTGTTTGTGTTCCAATTTTTTTTATACTTGCTGCCATCATATTTTTAAAATACTCCTTTGGAAGGATATGTAAATATTTGGCAACCACCAGTATGTTAAGAGCAGAACAATAGCTTGACCCTTGAAGGTACAATCATCGCACTACTTTTGTTTCTCCCTTCATTTTTAAGGTGCACCATCTTATATTGAAAGTCGTTTGGTATATGGGACTTTTATCACTGCAACAAGCAATGATTAGGGTTCCTCTTATATATCCAAGTGGTTAGAAAAAGAAAAAAGATGCTTTCACAAGGCAGTCTGAATTCATCAATAAACTTGCTCATTACTTCTTTGAGCTCTGTGTTTGTGCCTGTGAAATGAAGAGGTCATGTTGGTACCACTCATCGAGGTCATCACTCATCAGTAGAACCATTCTGTTAACATCATTGATAATTTTTAGATTCATTGAAATTTTGCACTGCGATAAATTCTGCGGAGAGGATGGGATTGTAGCCTTGTTCCACAATGGCTCTTGACTAGATTGCTCAATGTACTGCAACTCTGATATTTTATCATCTCATGAACCCAAACATCATCAGTTTATCACAATGAAACATATTTATGAGCAGAAGTACTGATGTATTTTAATGCATTTAGCAATGTAAGTGTTTATTAAGGTAAATGGTAAAATTTTCAATAAGAATTTTTATAATGGTTAAAAATACTTTTAATATTTGTCACTAAGCATCAAAATGACTTTTTTTGTTTTGGAAGGAATTTGAAAATTGTATTCATCAAACTTATGTTTTCTTTCAAATTTCTTCTAATGAAGTCCTTTAGAGGCTTTTCCAGAGCAGGATTTTTGGTGTTAGGAAGCTTCTCCAAATACAACTTGCCCCTCTCTTGTGCATGTTTGTGTGTCTCCAACACTTGATATAATCATTTTTCATAGAGAATATTAACTCTCGACTGGTTCACCTTTTTTTTTTCGTTTTCCCTTTCTCATTTTCTTTGTGCTTGCTTTTTCTCATCACAGAATAAGAGAGAGAGAGACGATGATCAGCAATATCTGTTACCGGACACCAAGAAATTAGATTTTCACAAAGAATTTTTCTTTTCTTTTCTAATGAATTTTGTACCCCTTTTTTTTTTATATATATAAATTGTACTGGTTGTATTATTTTTATAAGATGTTTAGTCGTTATGTCTTGTGGAACTACTGTAAATTAGATGCAATAGTGGTCAGCAATTCTTTCTCTTGTTTTATGTTTTATATTAGTAGAAAAGAAATGACAAATAGGTTCAAAGAAATAATCTCTTGGTGAAACTGGAAGATATTTCCTTATTGCATCTGGACGGGGGCCCTGGGCAGAGGGACCAGATAATAATATATGTGGTCTGTATATGCATTTTGTAATACTTGAATGGAATGACCCTGCACCTTCAGGCCTGTGCTGAGGGTCCTTTTAGGTGTAATCAGAAATTTAGAAACTGCCAAGCTGGTAGCTTTGGGATGTTACAGACGTAAAAAAATATCCTTGAGTTCCTCTAAGGTTCTCTACTTCACCCTTAATGCAACGGGTATTATTTACAAATTTAAAGATTAGATATTCCTCCAGGTTCTGTTTTTGCCTTTAGCGCCTATGTGACCATTCTCTACTTCATCCTTCATGCTACTGCTATAATTTACAAAGTTAAAATTTAAAGATTAGAGATTATTCCTGGCTCTGTTTTTGCCTTTAGCACCTATGTAACTGTTGGGAAGTTTCTTTGAGAAGAGTAATGACTTTACTGAATCCGAACTAGGAAAAGAAAGGAATGGGATTGAGATTGAAGAATGTATATAGTGATAGGAATAATCAGGATTTATATCTAGTTTTCTGCATTAGTATTTATTTTCAACTTTCAAAAGATAATATCTTTTGAAATGGACTGAAGTTTAGAATGAAGTGTCCGGGATAATCCTTTGTTCCATAGCCCTAGGGCTATTTACAACTAGCCAATTAAGAATTCTCAGATGTACTAGTACTAGCCATGCATCAAAGATGCAATCATCGATTCTCCCGAGAGGCCACAATTATCACGAGCAAACATATTAATGACGAGGAACGCATTTTTGTTATGCTACTAATACTTGTACTTGCTCTGCTATTCTGCCCAAGCCTGGCCGAGGAAGAGTTACGGAGCGCGTAAAACAAAAAAATACGTTGATGGGGACCCTAAAAAAAAAGGAACCTTTCCTCTCCCCAGCCATTTCGGGTTAAGAAGATGTGAAAGCGCTTTTCTTTCTATAAGAACGGTGCGTTCCGAGGTGTGAAGTGGTAGATAAGGGATGTCATAATTGGGGTCTTGAATAAGACAACATTTTGAATTTTGAATTTTGAATTTTTGCTTGGCCATACCACATTAAGGATATTAGTTTGGTAGTGAGAAATGACATTAATGTGTCACTAATTTATTAGAAGGTAAAATGCCAATATATATATATATATGAACTAAACCTAAATCTGCAAATAACCCATGAACTACAATTGTTACACAATACCCCCCCTCAACTATCAAGTTTTGTTGCAAAATGCCCCCTACCGTCAATGTGCCGTTTAGTTTTGAACGACCCATGCCCATCACGTGATGGGCTATTTTTCTTTTAATGACAAGAATGCCCTTACAAGGGTTAAAAGTCAATAATACCCTTCTTTATACCCAAAACTACCTAACTTATATATATACACACACACACATAAATGATCTCTTGCTCATCGGTGAGTAAGAAGTGAGTAAGAAATTTATCCGCACCAAGCATGATGATTGTTGAATGTGATTGCTATCTTATTTTGGTAATTATTTTTTTATCATCGAATGGTTACCATGTATGGTGCGGATGAATTTTTTGCTCATTGGTAAGCAAGAGATCATTACTCTATATATATAATTAGAATCCCTAATTCAATTTACGGGAATTAAAAAAACTTCCTAATTATCTTCTTCACTAAGTTGACCTTCGCTCTCACCTCTCTTCACTCTCTCCCTCTCTATGATGAGTCGAGATTGGAAATCTATTGGTTTTATGTGAGTTAGTTGTCGGTTGACATTTGGCTGGCTGTCATTGCCCAGTGGTTACCGAACAGTGAATTGTCATGGATTTGAGATGAGGTTTTGGGGGAATGTTGTGGAGATTTTTTATCTAAGGTTTTTGGGTTGAATGGTATTCTAATTTGAGAGAGAAAAACATAGCATAATGGAAAAAATAAAATAAAATTGTTTCCACAAAACTTACATCAAATCAAACATAACCCAGTAAACCACCATGCATATTGTTCGACATGCCTGATTCAATTTGACCTAATCCATCTCATCCATTTAAGTGAAAATTCGTCTTTTAATATTTCCGTTAACGGAAGGTGACGAGTATGTCCTTGGTTGGAACAAATCAATAGTTCAAGAGGGTTCAGGGGTTTATTTGCAAAAGCACAATATTTCAGGGAGGTTTTTGCATTTCTCTTTATTAGATTGAGCATTATTTTAATTATAGTTTTGTGTTTTTTTGTGTGTTACATATAGATTGAGCGGAACCAAATCCTTAGGTAGATGGTATCTCTATTTTGGTGTTTAATCTAATGTAACAATAGTAATGGTTTCTATTTCTTTCTACAGGAGTGCCATGGACTGAGGGTGAACATATGTCCTTACCTGGTTTGGATGGGAGAGGAATTTCAAAGATGTATGTGACCACAAGGACACCAACACAGGTGACTTGCCACATACAAATATCTCATCAGATGGCAGCCATCAGTACGTTAGGAGGTGTCGTTTTGCGGTGCTTACTAAGTTTATTTTCATTTTATGAACTTGGAAGTGAGAAGTGCTAGCTTTTCGAGTTGGATGATAATTGAACACTAGATGGTGTTCTATCAGATTTTTTTATTTTTATTTTTTTCATGTTGAAAGTTGATGAATGGTGAAATTTTTTTTTATTGTTTTGATCTTACCAATAGTGTGTTTCAATGTAAAGTTGTTTTAGTTATTAGCGTTAAATTTAGATTTGTTAGCCTTGTATGGTGTTTTAGTTATAATTGTTGGCATTACAGGTCTGTTGGTAGCATTTGATGGTTTGTTTTTTTAGGTGGGGTTTGGGTTAAATCCTTAGGGTATTTTTTTTTTTTTTTTTTTTGCGGCCACTAAGAATGCAGTAAATAATTACATACAATGAGTTAATAACATCCTCTCTCTTCTCTTTATTATCATTTTCCCTCATTAATAGACCAATCAGTGCTGGGGAGGATCTAAACCATTCTATAGCATTTGCGGCACAATCTTGTTATAAAACATATTTTCAATAGAAACAGAATCAAAAAGAAAAGGGAAGGAGTGGGCTTATTTCATTTTTGGATGGCATTATTATCTTTTTACTTTTTATTCACTATGATATATCAGGACAAAATTATGATACATATGTGCAGGGGATGGTGTATTTTGATTGGTTGTGTACAATTGACACTTCTCAACTCCAACCTTAATATTGTCCATATTTAAATTGTCAAGAGCTTCACTATTTTTTTTTTTTTTTTTTTTTTTTTTTAAACAATTGACACTTTTCAACTCCTGTCACCACGAAAAGGATTATTGTTTCATAGTGCAGACCATGGCTCCAAATGAATTGATTTGAGCCGAACTTGAGTCTGTCCGGGCTCGGATTGTTTATTTTTGAGTTTGACTCGGGATCGTGATGACTGTAATGACTCAAATTCCCTGGATCCGGATCATTAAACGGGTCCTTACCCAACCCAGAATCATCCAAAGGTATTATGGTTCTTTCATGTTAAATTTATATATAACAGTCCAACAAGGACGAGATAGTCATTCGTCATAATTCTATTATTTTGAGACTTCAGGGGTATAATAGTCATTTATTTATATCACATAATAATTAAGATAAAGTCCGGGCAATATAGTCCTTTCCGTGGTTAAAATATAATTATTGAGTTTTATTAGGTCATAAAATAAATACTCGTAACTTTAAATAAATGAATAATTAGGAAACCAAATAAAAAATTTATGGAACAAGAATCGGTCGACTTGAACACATTATACGTGGACTGGTTTGGTTTGCCAATATACCGGTCGACGTGACGTGTAGGGTATTCACGTCGACTGGTTTGGGACATGTACAGTGAAAAACTCACTGTCAGGATACCGGTCGACGTGTGGGAAGCTACATGTCGACTAGTTCACGCTATATGTCGATTGGTTCATGCTATACATCGATTGGTTTTGCGTTATCCACACTCGTAATTCCCACTGTCCCATATACACCAACTTTGATAACCAATCACCCAATTACCACCATTGCACGTGTACACGTATTTATATACAATTCAAAACCCAATACGATAACAATATTGGTAATAAATATTTTGAATGATACATAACACGAGAAAATGCACCAAAAAGGATTTTGTGAGATTATATTTAATTGCATCCCCAAATACAAGTCCAATACATCATTTAAAGACCGAAATACAAAAGTCTCATTTTATACAAGAAATTAAATACAAGAGTAAGGCCTCCATGGCCAAAATTTACATAGCTTTGGTATAAATAAATAAAAATGAAGTCCTATCTACATTGATATCCATGGATGTACATCAATTACCGGCTCATCTCCAAGTCCCTGAAAAATATTAATATTGATAGGGTGAGCTCAACAGCTCAATAGAGTAAAGCCTAAATTACATTCCTAAAAATCCTGTGAGTCACAACCAAAGAATAGGAATCAAAGAAAATGGATCATGGGATTAAATCATTTCAACATTCATGGAATTCACAATTTCACAAGTTGTACCATCAAATATGAAATGCAATGTCTCCTTCTTTCTTTCCACATTAACCTTCATCTTCCCAACTCACCCTCATGCCATGAATATGCATGTTATACAACCATTCATCATTATACAAGTCATAATTTACATTTAAGTTATCATACCAAACATCCAAACCCAGAAATTGATGACATAGACCATACTTTTACATTTTCTCATAGAAAAGTAGTATGCTTGGCACAAAAACAAGAAACCATCATTTTCTCATCCTTTAATAATTAAGTCATCACAATTCATGCTTAACATTACAACCAATTTTTTTAAATAATAATAATAATAATAAGCATGCTTCACAACATTAAAATTATCGTGCAAGGAGGCATATAGAAACTCACTAAAACCATAGGAATTTGTAAGTTAGACTTCTCTTACCTCAAGATAGAAACTTAAGCTCCAAGCTCCAAACTCAAATCCCACCAAAAGCTTGCAATACCCGTACCAAAACGTAGCCCTTGCAATACTCTACAATTTGCTAACTCCGGCTTAACCCGAATCTTCATCTAGCATGAAGAAATTTTTGAGAGGAGGGAGAGAGCAATGTAGAGAGAAAAAGAATATAGGGAAAGAGAACTTGTAGGGTGTCCGAAAATGAGGGGAAGAAGGAAGGAAATGGTTCAAATGGGACATATCATTGTCTCTAGAATTCTCTAGGTGGATCCAAGAGTCAAAATGACAATAATGCCCCCTAATCTTCTTCGTATTACCAACCATGCCATAAAATATCCTCCTCCAATCAATACCACTAATACAATATACATACAAGTATAAATATACACTTACACATATGAAATGTCGATAACGCCCTTCGGGGCCCGCGTAGCACGCAAAACGAGGCAATGATTAAAATATTCCAGAAAAATCAAATAAATTCCAGAAATTAGAAAATAGGAAAAATCGGTAACGTTACAATCTCCCCAACTTCAAAAGATTTTGTCTCCGAAATCAACCCACCTCATGAGTGAAAGACGAAAAGACACAAAATCGGAGTACGTCTCCGTGAACCCCGCGCAACACACTATACTTCGAAACCCCAACACGAAAAGTCCAACATCCCATGTCACTCGCGACCCTACGTTTGTGACCCAACACAACCTCAACTGAACAGTGACCACTGCCACACGTAATCTCATCCCCCTTAACGCAAACTGGCATAAGGGCACACCCTATGCCGAACAAAATTATCAACCGCCATATGCATTCACCCGAGGCACAAGCCCCCAACCAAATTTGTGACTTCACTAAGTCCTGACCTTTGAGAACCAGTAGGATTGTCATCCTTCTAACTAAAACGTACCACCAATCGATACTAAATCCTTAAACCACGACTTCAGTCAACCCACACAACAACCTGCATCACGAAAAGAATCCTTCAATCCAGGTCACCACGTCACTCAACCATCTACTTCCGCACGTGAGATCAAGGGAAACACTCAACCCTAGTCAAAACCAACCCGATTTATAAAATTACACTAATGTTGTCCATACGAGACAATCCACCAGAAAACTGTTGGATCCCATACATAGTAGGTCCAACCAGTAGCGCCTCACACAATCCACGCTAAACATCTTAAGGCCCACAAGATAGTGGTTACAAAACCGCTCAATGAACCAATATACGAGCTCAACTCGCTATCCCAGGGATACTCTTTAAAACCATCTTTGATAACTACTGCCTTCAGTAACTACATCATAGCTGAACACCCACAACTGAAACCAAGGGAACCATTCGACCTATTAAAGGTACCATCAGATACCCGGAAAAACAGCACATCAGTATAGCTCAAGGATCAACTGATCTAACAACTGATACTCCTTGGACACGTAGTCCCATACCGAGTGCACTACCATCCACAACAAGTCACCTAAACACGTACAAAGAATATCATCACTGTAAGTGAGACTCACTCAAAAATGGAATCGTACTACTACACGTACGCAACGCACAACACCGTACTCTAACGGTTGCTAAGCATACTAAAATCAATGATCATTGACCTTTGACCCGACATTGTGTTAAAGAAAGACTGACTCAGGGAAATGGTTGGCCAGGCCATTCCCATCGTCCATCCGACCTCAACGCCAACGTTGTTCTTGTCCTCAGGTTCAATTCTCAAGTACACCTACGCACCAACTTCCACGTCTAACTCTAGACACACAGTCCAACCACCCTTAACACACAAGTCACCTCATAACTACTAGTTACTATCACTAATTCTAAGATCCTAAGAAAACGTACACACCGGTTGACAAGTCGCGTCTCACGCAACATTGATCATAACCTCTCAGAACGAATCCCACAAAACCAAGGACTTCACCTCCAACCATAGAGATAAGTCGAGCGATTTAGAATAAACCTTCATTCGGATTCCTCAACTAGGAGAGAGCTCTAAAAAGTTCTTTTGCCTGCTGACACGCACAACTCCTATGTGGAGATACAAAACTCACAAACAAGAAGGTCCTTGCCAGGACCAACACAAAAAGAAGGAAGATCAAGTCCCTCTACCGCAATAGAACAGAACACATATCTATCGATACCTTGCATAAGCTATGCCAAGAAAGAGGAACTAAATAGAGACGAAACAACTCGATCCGCAACTTGTACACTTAGCATCCATATACTCAAGAGAACAGTGCCCCTTCCCAAACACTAAAGCTAGACAACGACTCTTAAGACATTGCATCCCATCCTGTCCAAGCAGAACCTTAACAAGTGAAATTCCAAACATTCCGTTCGTAGTTACAAATAGGCAATGTTAACCACTACATCAATAACCTTTAAAGTAACATGACTAAAACCTTTCTGTCATTAATCCATCATTAAAACCATTACATAAGAGCTCAACTACTCACAAAATATATATCATTATCTAATAAAACTGTCTGGAATACTCATACAGTCTTACAAATACATCATTGCCTTAATACATAACGGGTACAACTGATACATCATCACAACTTAAAACTCATGCAAAACTCCTTGATCATCATCAACACCATCCGGTCCGGAACCACACTACAGGATATGTCCACCATTCTGGCACAGATGAATCCAACACTGCACAAAGTGTACGGGTACCTGTCCAAACTCACGGGTAGCCCCCATTACCAGAGCAACTGTGTGCAGGTACCTCCTGTCACACCCAAACTCGCAGGTATCCCCCGCTACCAGAACAACTGTGTGCAGGTACCTCCTGTCACACCCAAACTCGCAGGTATCCCCCACTACACAATTACAGGTAACCCCCGTTATAGAACTCGCAGGTATCCCCCGCTATACAATCACAGGTAACCCCCGTTACTGTATCGGACTCACAGGTATCCCTCGTTACAACATGACACGATGCACTGACAACAACATGACAAGA